GAGCTTCTGACAGCCCAGGTCATCAGAGCTGTTTGCACCACTTGTGTGGAAACCCTTTTTCTTGAGATCTGACCAAGTGTTCATTCAACTCAAAACCATCTTTTTGAGTGACCATCTGAATTTGGGCTGCTTTAGTTGAAGCTTCTCAAAGTTGCCTGGCCACACTTGTCCCAAGGATGTTCTGCTGTGGTACCATGGCAGTGTTGGGTTCATGGTTGGACTTGCAGGTCTTTTTCCAACCTAAATAAATCTGTGATTCCCTTCTTCAAGTGTTTGTGCTGCTACTGACTGAGCCTCCAAACTTTGATACCTTTCCTGCCTGTTTAACTTACCTGTATACTTCATTTCTGGTTGGCATCTGATCCTGGGTACTCCTGTCCCAGGCAGTGCCTTGTGTTCCTGATTATTCTTTTTACCTGTATTTTATAAAGTCTTCTGGTTGAATCTGTGGAAAAGCTTGCTTGGCTGAAATTTTTCTGGCAACCTGCAGTTTTTATAGGGGAAATTACCATATTTCTCATTTAAAATTCTTACTTCGTGTTTTTATTGAAGACAGCAAAGCGTGCCTTTTCTGGTTTTGTTTTTTGTTTTTGTTTTTTTTTTTTTAATTGTTATTGTTTCTTTTTTAAAAAATATTTCTTTCAGTATTCATTGTGCAGATGTGTATTACCATAGTAAAGCTGTAAAGTAGCCAAGCTGTGCTGATCTTCACTGGAGGTGGAATAGTTTAAAGAAGACTTTGTGCTCTGCTTTAGTTGTTTATACTTCAAAATAATTTAAGAGAAAGGTGCCTTTTTATTTACCAAGCATTTGCAAGAAAACCTTAAAAACCCATCACAGTAAATAGTAAATAATTTTCTTTACAACACAAGACCTCTTTTTCCTGAAGAGATGGGATTCTTGCCAGCCTTCAAAGTTTTCAGAAGATTGCTCCTATTTTCTCCTTATTATGTGTCAAATTGTAAAACATAAAAAATTGTTGACAAGCTTTAAAAAAAAAAAAAGATATCCAAGATTGACACCTTTTGCTAAAATACCATTTAACTTCTTTTCAGGTAGAAAATAATGGCTATTAGAAGAGAAAATCAGTGAGCAATACTGAAATAGAAGTTGTTTGGGGTTTTTTGGCTTTTTTGTCCTTTTTTTATTTTTTTGTTTTTTTTTTTTTTAAAGAAAGAACCTTAAATTATTAATTGCTTCTGAGACCTTAATGCAGTGGCTTTGGAGTTTTCCACTCTCAATGCAGTTTCAATCTGCTGTTGTATCTATAACTTATTAGTGGTATATATATTTATGTGTTATATAGTATTTGAAACATTGAATAAAAATGAAGTTTTGGACTTGGTTCAAGCTGTCTGGGTGCCTTCTGGGGATATAAAAGTACAGTCATCAAGGAAACATCAATTTTCTAGTTGGCTAAAAAAGGTGTTTGTGGTTGTGTATCACTTCTATGCATCAATTCTGAAGAATTTACAAAAACCCCTACAACTAGAGAAACCAAAAGCTTAACTAATGGTCATCCATCTATTCACTGAGCTGTGAATGAAACCAAGAACAGGGCAAAGAGCTTTGCCCTAAGAAGTCGTGGCTAAAATGTACCAGACATGAACCAAACAGGAAATTCTGCAGAGAAAAAAGGGAAATAAGAACTTGGATCTTGTTAATTAAAGTTTTGGCAGGCTGACCTTTAGGGCCTTTTTGAAAACTCCAGTGTGGGATGCATCATGACTGGTGTTGGAATTTCTTGGGTCTTTTTTGACCACAGTGGGGGGAAAAGTTCCTTTTTGTGCTATGTTTGCCATCAGGTGCAAGTCTTTGGTAGGAGGGAGGTGGAGCATTCCCTGAAAGTATCTGAGGGTATTTTTGGGAAGCTGCTTTTTGGAGGATGGGATAGAAACTCCTCAGAAAGGAACCTTTGACAGGAATGGAGACAAAACCAGCAGTTTCTGGAAATGTTCAAACAGGGAAAGAAAGACTTATTTCAAAGATGCATAGGGATTTGTGAAATTAGGTTTTTAATGGATTGAGAACAAATTGAAAAAAAAAAGAAACCACAGTGGACCAGGGCCATTACTTAAAAGTCTTTTATTCATCTTGCTTTTAATTTTACTATTCACGAGTCCCATGTTTTATGTATTTTACTAATAACTTGGAGCTCTGGAGTTTACAGTGCTTTTAGTGTGTTTAATGATGCTCATTCTGAAGGAGGGAGCAGAGCTCCTCCATCACTCCCTGTGACTCAGGGTCCCAGAGCAGGGGTGGAAGAGGCAAAATGAGAACCTTGAGGCAGCCAGGAGGCTGGAAATAAACAAAAACCTGTGTCCTCTCAAGGCTGAGACAGAAGGTTTTATTTATATTTTGAAGAGTCAGTAGCATTCTTCCAAACAAGTCTGGAAAAGAATTGCAGAGTGTGACATCCCTTTCTTCCAAGGGTTGGTCAGAAACTCAGCTGGTGGAGCTCCATGTTGATCCAGGTGTGAGGTGGATGAATGTTACAAAAAATAAAAGAAAACCAAATCTCACATTGAGTTCATCCCATGGCTTCCATGCATAACTTTTATATGAAAAGAGAGGAAGCCTAAGAGCCCAAGAATACAAACAAATCACCAGACAGGCAGAGATTAAATTGGGATTGAGAAGTTTGGGCAGGAGTGACATGGCAGAGATAAACCAGTGCACAGGTGGGGTCATTCCCCAAATGCCTGAAGAGTATGTGTTAAAATGAGCATATTTAACATAAATACATTGTCTAGAGGTTTCCAAAATACATATTAAAAAAGGGGAAAAAAGCTAAAAGCTAGCAAGAATTCTCTTACAGTCTTTAAAGTTATTTACTTAGTCTGAGATGATAGGATGGGGAAGAGATGCAGTGGTTTCATCACCTCCTATAGGTGAAGACTTCAGACATCAGCTTGTTGAGGCATTCCTGTAGAGAAGTGGATTTAGGATAGGATTTAAATCAAGTTAGAAGAAGACTTGCAACACAATTTTTGACTTAATCTCAGGGTGATGCTGCTCTGAGAATAAGGTAGATGAAAATGACAGGCATTGGTGCCTGCTGAGAGCTGGATGCCCTGGTTTTCAGAACGTCTCAGTGGGTTGAAAGGATTAGCACTGGGAAATTGGTCAAGCAGCAGATTTGGTCTGAGATAAAGTTCACCTGTCTGCCCTGTGAGCAAAAACAAAATGGGATCATGAGTGCAGAGTGAGGATGTGCTCGAGAGTACTGTTGAGATGCCTGAGGCAGGGATGAAAAATCCACCTTTCCTCAGAGGAGAGAACCATCTGTGATAAAAGGGTCATTTTGAGGCTCTGCAGGCTTGGTTTGCCAGAGACACTTGAGGGAACTGGGGCAGAGGAGAGGTTTTCTCCTCCATTAGCAGGACATGCAGGAGGTTGCAGCTGTCACTAGGAAGAGAACAGAGAAAATGCTTTGGATTTTCCATAGTGTTTAGGATGCCACTTCTGCAGGGAAAAATTCCCAAAAGATGCTTAGGAAACCAAATCTTTTGGGCTGAAAAGGAGGAGTATTTCCTCTCCCAAAGTATGGAGGTGGATGGCTGGATGGAAAGTGTGCCCTGGGCTGGTGGGATGAGGGAATTGGGGAAACTCGTGTTCATCCTACATTGAATCCAGACAGGGTTAAACAGGTCTCGCTTCTGGCACTGCTGAGAATGAGGGAAAGAAAATGCCTTGTTTTTCATGCCGTTTTTCAGAAACTTTGTTCTTAAATAGGAAAATGAGGTGACTGGAAGAGGTGTGGAGAGGGAAGCAAGAAGTGAAAACTGTGGAACCCACCAGAATTTGCTTTGTCCTTGGTGGGATTCAGTGACAGAGAGAAAGAAAATTTTCAGTTTCTAATTTTTAATCAAGCAAGTGATTGAAAAAGGCAAGAAAGAAAGAAGGACCTGCTCTGGAAAGGCAAAATGAGCACTGAGATCACTCAGAAACCATTTCATTTCTCTTATTTCACTGTAGTTTTTTTTCTGTGCAATAAATGTATATTTTATCTAGTTGGTTCTAGTAAAACTCAGCTCTGGAATTAACAAACATGTTCTGGTGTCTTTTGGGTGTCTCATCATGGACGGGTGGAAGCAAATCCACCTCTTACTCTTGAGGTGCTGCCAGGCAATTTGTGATAGCACAAATCCAGGCACTTATATATGAGTGAGGTCTCGAGAAATCACTGACTCTGACATGCTAATCATATCAGTAAAGAGAGAGAGGCCTCTGAGTGCAGCAGTGACCATTTCCATCATGGATTGTTCTGATGAAAATGATTTTTTTAAAGTCTTATGTTAACCTGTTTTTTGTTTAAAAAATGAAAATGGGGAAACAGAAAAGATTTATGAAAAATTGAAATTTATAGTTTTGGCCAGTAGCAGAAAGCGTAATAAGGTTTTGCTTTGATTTGGGTTTTGGTGGTTTTATTTATATATTTATGTGCAAATTAGCAGCTTTTGAAATGATGAGAAATCAGAGGAAAAAGGAAAATCTTTTGTGCTTTTAGACCAGCGACACGAATGCAGAATTGGATGCTTTGCTGGGCTTCTAGCTGTGTTTAAAGTAAAGAGAATTTTCCTAGTTTCTCAGGCTGAATGAAGTTGGGAGCAATTTGCTGTATGATACGGAATACAGTGAATCAGCATTTGCAATGGCAGCTATTTATAGTCACCCTATTTTTATTCAAAGCAAAACAATAGCACTGAATTTCAGGCAGTTGGACCAGACACTCAGGAAGGTCTCTTTGGAAGCTGGAGGGGGAAAATAATCTCATCTAGCTGGATCTTGAGGGCTGAGCTCCGCCGGCATCTCCATTTCAGTGCCGTCCTCCGAAGGTGAAATCCGGGGAGCTGTGCTGGGGAGCTGCAGGAGCAGATGCCTCTAAAATGTGATTTTTATCCACTCTTCTGAGGCTATCAGCATTCCTTGTGTTTTCTGCTTGAAGGGCTGAGCAATGTAATTAATGCCTGTTAATTTTAACCGTCTCTTGCAGGTTTTCTGTGGCTGTTCCACGTCCTCCTGCTGCATCCAACGTGGATCCGAGTGCCGTGGCTACAAAGGCTTGTCACTGTCTCATGCTGGGTCCCTCACATCCAAGAGCTACTTGGCAGTTTCCAAGGCAACCACCTGTGGAATAATTAAAAAGGATGAAGTGTTAGCGTGCCAGATATAAGGAATTCTTGCCTGGAGAGAGCGTTTCACTTTCTTCACGTCTTGAAGAATCCAAACGTGCTTCTGCCAGCAAAGTTAAGGTAGTACAATTAAAAAGTAATGGCTTATTTTTCTGGAAGTTTTGAGGTGGAGCAACAAGCCTGATATATGGCTGTATGATGTACAGAAATGACCATGGTTCCTTCTGGGTTAATATTTTGGGTAGGTTTAAATGGAAAATGCACGAGAAAGGTGGTGATGGGAAGGCAGCGATCAGCATTTTGTATTAGTAAAACAGTTGCATGGAGTGGTTTGCACTTCATGCCGTCTTCCCTGGGGTGATTTTAAGCTGGGAAGGACTAAAATGGAGCATACCTTAGTTGGAGCATAAATATAGGAAGTGCAGCCTTCATGCCAAGTACACTGAGATTTCTTTGGCATTCAGTGCAGTGATAGATATAAAAGGAATCTAGGAGTGGGCTCACTGCAAAATGACAGTCGGAATCAAGGCTTGGTCTTCATCCCAGAGCTTAAAGGGTGGGCAGTGCCTAAGTCCACGCTGAACCAAACTGATAATCAGGTTTAGCTCTTTCAGTGAAGCAGCAGCTAAAACCATTTTGAAGTCACATATTCCCGGATTCAGAGCTGAAATTGCACAGTGGGGAAAAAACAAGTATTAAGCAAAAGAAGCCTGTCAGAGTAACAAAAAGTGGCAAATTTGTTTCTGAAAGTTTGAAATGTTGCTTCAGAAGTTGATGGCAGAGGTGTTAGACTTCAGAGAACTGGAAAAGTTCTTCTCCAAGTATTATATGTTAATGGATGTATTTGCTCATTATATCTTCCTTCTCTGCCAGTCATTCAAATATAGTTGAATAGAAAAATATTATTCATTTCTGACAATGGAGTTAAATGGAGAAAAACCACATTCCCATTCTTCCCATAGTCCAAATAACTGCTCAGTTAAGTCTGGTTACCTTGCCTGATGCTCTTGTACAGTTAATTTTAGGCGTGATGCTTTTGTGTAATTTATTTAAAGGAAAAAAAAATAAGAGTCCTAAATTTTGAAGTAGAAATATTTGGGATGCCATCTGGGCTTTACATAATAAATTTTTCCTGCCAAAATGTTTGTGGGATTCTGTTGGGATGTGGATGGGATTTCACATTCCATCCCTTTCCACAGCACAAGAAGATCATTGTTTTTAGATATGGTGGGTCCAAGAAGAAATAAGAATTGTGTGGTGGCAGCTCTGTGATCTGAAGGAATACGAATAGAATATATCCAGCAAGGACTCTCACCTTTTACAGATGTTACCTAATTTCAACAGCAAATATTTGCAGGTACCAGCTGAGCACAGCTGCAGTTTTCCACCCTGATGCTTGATTTCCTGACCATTGGTTGGTTGTCACCACATCTGAAATGCCAGAATGATTTTATTTCTGCAGTAATTCTTCAGCCTGTTAATTCCTTTCAGTATGGAGCTGAGGAAAGTGTTTTTTTTCAGGCAAATGCTGTTGTCACATGTGGAAGGAGTGTGCTGGCAGAGTGTCTGCAGCAGGCACAGTGAGGAGGATGCAGAAGTGAGACACTCTGTAGGTAATGAAGGTCCTTGGTGTGTGTGGATCCAGATCCTTCATCTTTCCAAGCAGCATCAGTCACTCTCAGAGATGGAACTGGGTACTTGTGAAAGAGCACAAGAGTGGATTTGTGGATGCTTGATGTAGCAGCAATCAGACACAGTAATGCAGGATTCCCACGAGTGTACACAGAGGGGTTTCAGCTTGGATGCTTCTACAAAACATCCCAAACACATGCAAGTACCTCCATTTTTCTGTTTTACCTCAAATGCTGTGGGTGAGGTTTTTCTCATGAAGCTTAACTGTCCAGGTGCTGCTGCAGCCATAGGGGGAGCAGTTTCCTGACAGTTCCTGTTCCAGACCCCCTTGAAGGGGATGCCTTGTCTCTGAAAAGGTGCCTGTATAAATTAATCCATTCTTTCCATGGATAGTTCCGTAGATTATTTAGCCCTGGTGGCAAACCTTCCAGGAACTTCAAGTGTGCAATTAGATATATTTGTATATAAAATTAATTCACCTATGCTTGTTTCTCCATATTCCATTCCTGTTCCAGACTTTCCAGAGCTGAGTGGATTGCACTTGATCACTGGTACAATCCCCTTACTCATCTTCCTCTTCCCCACTCTGATGTTTGACCCTGACAGTTTTCCCAGCCTTCATCTGCAAGCCTGTGCTTCAGTGTCAGGGGTAGTGAAGAGCCCCACAGAGTTTGTTAACATAGTTTGTAAGAGAAATAAAAACAGCCATGCTAAATTTAGGCAGCTGTGCTGTGTGAAAGAAAATACAGTAACAGGCAAAATTGATTTCTGATGTTTTTTATGTAGGTTATGTTCTAACAATCTTTATCCCTGGGAAGTTTTACAAGACTGAAGGGAGGGAGTAGGTGGTTAGAGGCAGTGATTTGTTCAATAATTTTAATCTCTTAAAGTGATTCAGTATCTGTTGACATAGTTTCTGTAGCCTTGTAGAATTAGTGCTATATGCACCCACAAAAGTAAAATTTCCTTTTGAATTCTCTTTTCTGTGGCAGAAGAGTTGCTTTGCTCCATGTTGGAGTAACCTGGTGTCTTTTTGAGAAGAAAAAAAAAAAAGGGAAATAGTGATATAGTAACTCTTTCAAAGATTATTTTGATACAGTGGTTAATATTTTCCTATTTTTAAACCATCAGATCAACTGTATCAAGAATCAGTTACAGTGTGGTAGTCTAAAGTGTCATTAAAATACCCATTAATTTTGTTAAGTGAATTAGGAGTGTTTCCTGGAATAGGTAGGACTTTTCATCGTGTTCCTTGGAAATCCAGGTGATTTTTGAAAGGGAGTTTTTCCTTTTAACAAGAGTGGAAACGTAGGGGAAATTCAGGGAAAGAGCAATAAGCTCAAGCCACCTTTGTGGAAAAGGGAACTCAAATAATGAATGGACCCTTTTACTTGGGCTTGATTTTCTTTTGAGAATGAGGGAACTGTTTTGTTACACTGTTTTGTTGCACTTTGGTGCGTGGATGTTTTATGGGGAGCGAAGCTGCATTGCAGCTTTAATGCAAACAGAATTATCTACAGGGGACAGACTTTATGTTAGGCACCTGATCCCTCCACCCTTCCAGCTGCTCCTGGACATTTTGGATATGCTTTTCCAGCATAGTTCTGATGATTTTCCTTGATAGACCACCCAGAAAGTCTAGAACAGAATAAAAAAGAATAAAAAAGTCTGACAATTGCAGAAAGGTAGTGGAGGCAGGAGGAGAGAAGCAGCTCTTGTCATGTACTGACCTAGAGCAGTGATTTGTCTCCAGCAGTGGCCACAGGTGGGTTATGGAGGAGCAGAATGGGGACAGGATCCTCCTTCTGCACACCCTTCACTGTCCTGACATCTGTAGGACAGGGATAGACTAAGCTGGATATTTTTGGGGGGTTTTTTGCAGTGTTTACTGGATTTGTCTTTTGGAATTCATTAGTGAGAAGTACTGGGGAGTGTAAAGCTCTGTGGTTCTCCACACATCAGCCTGTTCAGTGAGGAACCATCTTCTTTTGTTAACTTTTGAGCCTGAACTCCATTTAAAATCACTTCTTGCACTGGAAAAGGCTTAAGTAATTCATACATAACTGTTTCCATTGCAACCATAATTTTCTAGAGCTCAGCTTGCTGTGAGTGTTGAGTCAGTTCAAAGCCTGCTGACCTATATACATGAAATAGGGCCACTTGCCCCACCTCCACTCACCCTACTTCACCCTTAATTTCATTGAGAGTCCTCATTAATTTCACTCCTGAATTTCATTTCAAGATTTTAATGTCCTGTGAGTTATCTGCACGCATTTCTTTTTTTGTTTTTCCTACTTATTTACTGCCTTTGCTACTGTGAATAACTTTACTATCATCAGCAGATGTTGTCATCTCACTGTTGAGCCCTTTTCATGTCATTTATGAATTCATTGAACAGTGCTGGGAACAGATCCCAGCTCAGATCCCTGTGGAAAGAAGAGCTGAAATGGCACCAAGTCCTGCCAAAAGCAGGGTGGGTTTGCCCACTTCTGCACGTGGCACAGCTGAATTTGTGGTAAAATCCCTGTCCTGTGTTGGTACACTTGTAAATGTGGAGTCACTGTAAAATATTTTGTAGGAATGGATAATAATGTGTAAGATATAATGTCATTCTTCATCACAGAATTGATGTTAAGGTTGGAAAAGATTTTGTTAATGTTGGAACTTGTTAAGGTTGGAAAAGACCTCTAAGATCACCAAGTTCTGCTCTCAAGCACCACCATATTTATTCACCACTAACCATATCCTCAAGTGCCATATCCATGTATTTTTTGACTCCACCACTTCTCTGGGCAGAGTATTCCAGTGCTGCCTATTTGTAATTTCACCTTTGAAATACAGGGTGGGCAAGGGATTCACCTTTTTGGATGACTGAGGATGATGTTTAGTGTTTAAAAGGTCCACTCCTGCTTTGTTCACATTTTTCATCCTCTGAGTTTTTAGTCTGGAAACCAACTTGGTTGGAACCTGCTGGTTTCTCAGTCTCTGCATTGCCCGAAAATACTGAATAAGGGAAATTAGGTAACAGAATCAATCTCCACAATCATAAATACACACTTGTTTTAGGTGGTTAGGTGTAGGAAATTGCCTGAGCAGTAGAACTACTACTTGTTCTTGTTTTTCAACCTTAGCATAGCAGACATCTAATGTTTATAAAACTGGGTCAGATTTAAAGGATCTGTAGCATGAAATAATTTTTCCAATGGTGTTCTGCAGCTGCAGCTTAGGGAGGTAGAGAGTTGAGTACATGAAGAGTACAGTGTCCTAATGTCCCACTGCTGCTTCCTCCTACCACTTCTGTTCGTTCCTAATGATTCCTGAAATTCTGTTTGCTTTTTCACTGCTCCTGTTGTCAACCACTGTGAAAAGTGCATTTTCACAAAGCTATCTGCAGTGACTTCAAGGTCTCTCCTAATCAGGAAAAAAACTAATTTAGAACCCCTCATTTTCAGTGTGTAGTTGGCTGCTTTTTTTTCTATATACAGGGC